TTGTTTGTTTCGCCAAATTATAGCTAGAAATAAAATAATTAATAGTTAAAAAAAGCTTTTGCTAAAAGTTTTATTGAAATCAAAAAATTTTGTTTTTATTATAAAAATTAACTTTTTGCAGTTTACACAAAAACTACCTAAATAACTACCTTTTTCAACTTAGTAAATCTTTTTCTTCTCATAAAATTGCATATATTTTTATTGTTTAAACTGTATTTTACATTTACTTTTAAGTGCATCTGGAGGAAAACTTCATTTTTAAGACGAACTTTCTTATATATGCAAAAAAAAATTATTATTACTAAAGAAGAAATGATGACGAAAATTTATAATACACATGATGAACTATTAATTTACTTAATTTGTATAAGCGTTGTATTAAAAATTTCTTTTTTTAGCTACATGATGGAATATTCAATTATGGTTACACAAAATTATTTTAATTAATGATCAGCAAGTGATCTGAAATAACCACTGACTGTTATTATTAGTCATGTTTATGATAACTGATTTACACTAGGATGTTACTCTATCATGTGACTTTCAGCTATATAATATACATAACAATTCTAGTGGTAAATTAGTTATTATCTACAATATAACTAATTTAATTATTTAATTATCAATAAAATTTTTGATAAATTTACTATTATAAATATACAGTACTATCTATTTGCAAAGTATTAGAAAGTTTTAATTAATTTAAAGATAAAGTATTTAGCAGATTTACAACTTACTTTTAAAGGATTTACAATTTTTTACAATTTTTAACTTGTTTTTTAATTTAATTTTATAAATAAATAATGCTAAAAACTATACTATTTGATAATCTAAAAATCAAAGAGAAAAACTTTGTTTAAGTTCATAGATTAAAAAATTTTTTTACTTATAATAAGTTGAATTCAAATTTAATGATTTTTACTATAATTTATATATGATTATATGACTTAATATATTATATCCTTAAACTTATTACTATAGTGCCAAAAGTTTATACTTGATAATCATGTGATTTTATTTTAATTTTCTAAACTGATTCTATATTAGGCCAAAGAAATAAAATTATTCGTTTCTCATAAAAAAAAACTGCTAAATTTGACCCGGCCGCCCGGAAAAAAAATTTATTTTCAAAAAAAATTTTAGCCGATTCCTAGAAGATGATTGGTTGATTTAATAAATTTTTTGCCCGGGTGGCCGGGTGGAAAAAAAAATTATTTTTTTATGATTATGATTGGTCAAAACCAAAATAACATGACCAAATAAAATAAATTTTTTTATCTTTTCGAAACATTTACATGACCCGCCCGGTCATGAGAAACGAATAAATTTATTTACTTGGCCTTATGTGATCTGGAATTTAGCTAATAAAAAACTGAGATTTTTTATGTGAAGTATTAATAAAATGTGGGTTTTAAAAATTTTTTATTACAAACAAGATAAAACATAAGAAAAAGTAGATTTCAACAATAAATCGCAACTATCATTTTATAAAAGTCATATATTAATAAAAATTTTAAAAATTACATTTGATTCATATTATAATAAATCAGGCTGGCATTATCACAATACATGAAGTTGGCCCAAATTATCATAAATTCTGGCCAACATATTTTGTTTTAAATTTGGGCTGATCATATAAAAATCATGCAATTATAACTTTTTATATAGCCCTTCTTTTAAAAAATCTGACTGGTAATTTGATAGAGTTTATTTCAAAGAATAAAGTTACCAGTTTATTTTTTTTAAAATTATATTATTTTTAAGAAGTTGAAAGATTTTTAAGTATTATATTATTATTGTTGAGTATAGACTTTCAGCACCATATTTGCTAAATTATATAAACTATATACTAATTTAAATTCTATTTACTAAGATAACTAAACTATATTAAATCATATAATATAAATATGTCTAAACTTTATAAAGTTTTGACATTTGTTAAACTGTTTGCAATTTTGCATTTTTTTAATAAAATAGTTTAAACAGTTTTGATTTTGACAATTATTTAAACTGCTAAGTTTTTTCCACAACTTTAGGTGGGACATAATACTTATGATGAATATTTTTACTGTTATTGATAGTGAGTTTTTATAATGATTTTGGAAAAAATATTACTAGCATCACATTTCTCTGTATTTCCATTTTTTATTTAGATATTGTTCTAAAGTGGAGATAAATTATGTGATCTAATATAATATAAGTGAACTAATTTTTTTATAAATTAAGTTTAAAATAAACTTGAAAATCATAAAATAGGTATATTTTAACCTACTCTACAAGTTTATTTAAGGAAAAAAAGTAGGTTTTAAATACTGTTACTTTTATTATATATGAGCAAAAGATTTTGCCAATCATATATAAAAATAGATAGACAAAAATGAAAAGTCAAATAAATCAAAAATGGCATTTAACCTCATTTTATACTCTAAGTAAACTTGTAAAGGAGGTCAAAATACACTTAGCATATATGTTTAAAAGGTTGTGTAAATATGGTGAAAAATTTTATTAGAAAAAAAATTTTCTGAAGTCATGTAATTTGCCTTTGCTTTAGATATCCTCTTCATCTGATATGTGATAAAATGTGTACTGTTTTATTCTATTACTCCATGTAAATATAATTTTAAAATATAAATATTTGCCAATTTTTTAATAATTCAGATAATATTAAAAGTATCCTATTATAAAAAGTATTAAAAATAATAAATTAAATTTTTTACTAAATTCATAATATAATTGTAATATGTAATTTTATTATAAATTGATACTGCAATATTATATTGTAATTTTACAAGTATATATGTATTGGCAATTAGTATTAGTTATCAATTAATTTTATATTAAAAATGGTATAATATTTGGTTGGAAAAAGTTTACAAAGAAATCTTGAATGCATTTTAGCTTTTTTACATGATATTGTCTTTCTTAGGAATGTGATGATTTCATCAGTGAAAAGGGATCCTTGGTAAATTTCACAAATTTTCGGATTCTTAAATATGAGACAATTTAATTAAATTTGTAAATTCATAATTGGTTATTCTGCTGATTTTCTACTCTAAATAAATAAATAGTAAATAAATATTCTTAATATAGACATTCGTTATTTAGGACAATGATCAATCGGAATATATCTTTGGAAAAACATTTAAATTGTGTAATAATATACTTGAATACTATTTATCTTTAATATATTGTATATATACTAAATATTGATCATTTATATTGAGTAATAAGTATTAAATGTACTGTATTTTAATATAATTGTTTTCTTATTCGTAATGTGCTTATCGTCTTTTTTCATTTCCATAGCTGCAGAAACTTCAATATCGTATCGCAATTCAGATCTTTCTTTTTTTGTATCCTAATTACTATTTTTAAATGGTTGATTGAAAAGTGAAAAATGGGTTATTAGATCCGCAATAGATAATCTAATCATTTTTTGGGCTTATTCTTTTTCTTTTCATAATTTGATTGGTGGATAAACTGTTCATGCTGAATTACATTGAGTATTCGTTGAAAAGATATTCGAAGATTCATATTATTACGTGTGTCCAAGATGCATGATTGCACGTGATAATCAGAAAGGTGAAAATTTCGTTGTTTTACATTTTTTTTTTAAAATGCATTGAAAATAATTATCTGATTTCTTAACTGTTAATAAAAAGAAAATAATAAACATTTTTTCGTTTAAAATGAACGATCGACACATCACAAGATATTTTTTGTGTGGGGTTATTAAACTGTTTATTCATAACTAACCAAAGTTGGTTAATTTGGGTACGTCAAAAAAAGTAGAAGCCAATTTATTAAGAATTTCAATCTTTGTGAATCGACCGAAAAAGCCACAAAATGTATGACACAAGAATTACAAATTATTAGGCGTTAAATCGCACATTGCACATGATGAAGTGACATCATTAAACTCAATACGCTTTATAAGGTATATTTGAGCCCTGGCTAAGCCAAAATCTCAACCCATTGAGCGTATAAATAAACAATCGTTCTTTTTGTTATCCATCTACAGCCAAAAAATCGGCAAAACAGGCTTTTTTTTTGCCCAAAATTTTGTTAATATGCTTAGCCAAAATTTTCATACACTATTTATCGTTACCCCCCTATGTTTCAAATGAAACTGTCAAGTGCATTGAACATTATAACAAATTATGTAATAAGCTCGGTTTAGTCAATCATAAGGTGAGTCATCAATGGAATTACTATATCATCAAAAAAATTATCATCCAATAGAATTTTAATTTCTAATTTGAAAGTTTTTTTTTATTTATTTTTAGATTATAAGGGTTAAAAGTACACATTTTGTACTTCTTTCATTTCAAGGGAATTTTCCAAATTGATTCTTATCAAAATTCAAATTTGGCAAAAGTAAATGTTTTGTTTATGATGTTACACGGAACGTCTCCTCTTCATTATTTTAAAAAGGATTCCAAAAGCCCAATCAATCATGCCGGTTAAAGAATTATTATTTTTTCTTAAAAGTTATATTATATTTATCATATCATTTACGGAAAAGTTTTTAAATCCCGTTTAAACAATAATGTAGCAATAATTAATTCGATATATGCATGTACCCACATAGATTGTAGTCTTTGTAGATCAATTATTATTATTAAAAAGATTTCTTTATCTTTAAATCTAAGGTTTTGATAAATTTCACGAAATTTGTATTACTCTTTTGCCCATATGATCCAGTTATTAAACTTGCCTGTTTAACACGTGCGAGATGTTACTATAATATCAAACTTAATATCGTGTCAATCCTCTTATGGATGTGTGATGTTATAATTGAAATCATGATATAAAAATACCTGAATCCTCCCAACCTCTTTTTTTTTTAAACAAAAAATTGTATAGTATAATTATTACTAATTATTACTGTTAAGAAACTTTAACTCGAATTTAACCAATATACAATATTTTTGTTCTTTCATTTAAGAATATCTCGGCAAAAGAGTCTTATTCAATTTTGTTTAAAAAGCGAACTTGCATTTTATTTTTATTTTTATTTTTATTTTTATTTTTATTTTTTTTTAAAAGAAAAAAAAAAATACCATATACAGTACATAACCATGTCACTTGCAAAACGTAAAAGGGTTGATACTTTGAATGGTCATCATAACGACAAGTTAACGATTTCTGTTTCTGACGATTCAAGGGATGCTTCTGAAGAAGATAATGATATGCTTGATACACCTTCTTCAGTGTCTTCCTCTCATATTGGAAATGGTGTTAATAATAATATTTCTATGCCAGCTCATAAGAAATCAAGAAGTGACATTACCGAAGATAATGCTGCAAGTTCTCCTGATATATCACCAGAAACTTTATTTGTTCAAAATACATCATTGTCTGGAAAAGAAAAGATTGAACAAATTGCAAAAATGTATCCATTCAAAATAAATCCTCCACCAACTGATAGGCCTGTTCGCATTTATTGTGATGGTATATATGATTTATTCCATTTTGGACACGCAAAGTCTCTAGAACAAGCGAAAACAGTTATTCCAAACGTTTACTTGCTTGTAGGAGGTACTTTTTTATTTGATTTAATTACAATAAATTTTTTTTTTTTTTTTTCATAAATTAATATATTGGTCTTATTTAATTTTAGTGTGTGATGACGAGACAACTCATAAGAAGAAGGGTAAAACTGTTCTTAATGAGAAGGAACGTGCAGAATCAATAAGGCACTGTAAATGGGCGGATGAAGTTATTGAACATGCACCTTGGATAGTAACTCAAGAATTTTTGGATCAACATGAGATTGATTACGTGGCACACGATGCTATCCCTTACTCTTCTGGTGACATATCTGATGTTTATAAATTTGTAAAGAAGCAAGGCAGGTTTTTACCTATACAACGTACTGAAGGTATATCCACTTCCGATCTCATAACACGGATCGTTAGGGATTATGATCAATATATTAGACGTAATCTCGAAAGAGGTGTTTCACCAAAAGAATTGAACATTGGTTTCTTAAAGGTATGTTAATTTTTATAGTTCTCTATAATGTTCTCTCGATAATATTTTTATTACATTATCAATTTTTAGGAGAAAGAAATCAATATGAAAAAATCAATTTCCGATATTCGATCTTCGATTCATCAAAATTGGCATGGAACCAAAGTGGAATTATCGAATGATTTTTCAGGATTTAAAAATGAGTTAGCACAAACGCTTGCAATTTGGGAAAATCGGAGTCAGGAGTATGTTAGGGGATTTGCGGGAATGTTTGGCGCCGAGGGTGTAATGGTACGTCAAATTTAATATTTTTATTTTATATAAAATTATTAAAATTTTTAATGACATTTTTTTTATTTAGTATAAGATTTTCCGCCGAAGTTCCCGGGGAGGATCTGTTACGGAGGAAGATTCACAATCAAATAAAAATAATTCTTCGGATGAGGATCGGTTACATCGTTCAAGAAGTGTCTCTCCCGTGAAGAGGGTAATTGACTATATCAAAGGAGACCAACAGGATCAACGGGAACAATCTGATTAATCATTTCCTTAAATACTATTATTTTTTAAGTAATTCATATAATTTAGAGACATTATTATTACACTTATAATATCATTATACTTTGTTCATTTTTATCAAATTATCAAATGGATTTTTGTGAATTATATTCATTATTTAATTTTGTAAATTTTATATAAACTTAAAAGTATTTATTACTATTGTTTAAAGACAAAATTTAAAATTGTTAAAGATATTGTTCTTTTTGCAATACAAGTTTTTTTTTTTTTTTGCATATATTTTATATTAAATGCATATGAAAAATCTGAAAATCCTAAAAAGAAAAAATTTTTATTCTGTAGATAATCTAATTTATTTACTAAAAGTAACTTGTATTACCGATTGAAAATTACACCTAAAAAACTCACATTCTTTACCACCATTGCCCCAATTTTTGTCATATTTTTTCACATGTACTGTATTATGAAATTCAAAAGGTTACACATAGGTAGTGCGGTTGGGGTAGATCAGTTTTTCTTTTGGGATGATGATATTTTTTTTTGGTAAATGATTATCTAATCAACTGACGTTTATGTATATTATCAATTATATCAATTTATTAATTATATCATGTGATTTATGTTATACAACAAAAATAAACTTTAACAAAAATGTAGATCTAAAATTAATACTACGACATAAAAATTTTGGGGCAATTTATATTATTAACACGAATTAATTAACGACTTTTAAAATAATTTTTTTTGTTATAAATATAAAATGGGCTTTGATTTAAATCCCATCCAGAGAGGAAAAACCCTGTTACATTCATTAGCTAACTAACACGAATCGTGCCGATTTTTTTATGATATATTTATAGGCTAAAATTTTTTTGATTACAATTTTTTTGATTATACTCCTTTGCTTTCTTTTTCTTCTTTCCCTTTTTTTCTACAAGAAAGTAAAAAATAATGCCGATGTTAGATGATTTCTTTTCAAAATTATCCACTTTAGCCGGTGGAGTTTCAACTGACCATTTAAAAATGATATTCACATTATTAGCATCATATCCAGTGGCATTAATTTATAAACGTTTACCACATAATCCAAATCTTAAACACTTGTTTTCTATAATTATAGCAATTATAGTCTTATTTGAAGTTTTCGATTTATCAAATGCTTTTTATGTGATGTTAGGAGGTTCTTTGATTTCTTATGCTATTATATATTTTGTTAAAGGTGTTTGGGGTCCAAGACTTGTTTTCTTGTATGCTTTGGGACACTTGAGTATTAAGTAAGTTAAATAATAAGACAAATAATTATGTAATTGTGTAATATCACGTGTTACAATTTGTTACACGAGTTTTTTTACCTACTAATATATTATATTAATATATAGTCATATATACCGGCAATTTAACCACATAACATATGATAAATATGATACCACAGGTCCACAAATGGTGTTGGTCATTAAATTAACATCATTCGCATTCAATGTATTTGATGGTCGTAGACCTAATAAGGTTTGTATGACAATTAATGAATTTTTAAATCAAATTATTATCCTTTCACATACTTAAATAATATTACACGTTTTTTTAAATAGGAATTAACACCATATCAAAGAAGCAAAGCAATTACTTCAATGCCATCAATCTTAGAATATTTAGGTTATATATTCTTTTTTGGTGGATTTATGGTTGGACCAGCATTTGAATTTATGGATTATCGCCAATTCACTAATATGGAAATGTTCCGTGTTGATGAAAAAACCAAAAATCATTTACAACTTAAACCACTTCAACTTGTAAATGAACATTTTAATAAAAAATCAGATAATGTTACGGGCGGACCAATAAAATACTATGTACCAAATGGAATGATTCCTGCTATGTGTAAATTAGGGTTCGGTATTTTTTTTATTCTTTGTATTGTAACATTTGGAAATAATTATTCAGTGGATTGGGCCTTAAGTGAAGAATTTAAAAATACATCTTTCTTTAATAAGTATGTTGATTATATCACATTTTTATAAAGAAATAATAATGATGAAATCTAATTTAATTTATTATTTATTTATTTTGATTAGATTAATATATATACAAATAGCATCTTTCTGTGCTCGATTGAAATATTATATCGTTTGGTTACTTGCTGAAGGCGCATGTATTCTCTCTGGATTAGGATTCAATGGATATGATGATCATGGCAATGCAAAATGGTAAAAAATTTAACGCATATATTTATTTTTACACGGATGGTATGTCACATATGTAACACACTCTCTTATTTGCCCTTGTATAGGAATCGCGTGACAAATGTTGATATTATTGCGTATGAAACGGCCGATAACATCAAATCTCTTTTGGATACATGGAATATGAACACAAATAAATGGTTAAAAAATTATGTATATCTTAGAGTAACTCCACCTGGAAAAAAACCAAATTTCTTTTCAACCATTGCTACTTTTGGAACGAGTGCTATTTGGCATGGATTTTATCCTGGATACTATCGTAAGCATATAAGCAAATAACTTTTTTTTTTCCTAAAGTAATATTAAAAAATTAATATATAATTATTATTCTCGCGTTTAGTGACTTTTATAAGTGGAGCATTTGTTCAAAGTGTTCATCGAAGTAAGTATATTCTTATAAATATGAGATGAGTTCTTTTTAAAAAATGATTAAAAGGCTAATCCTTATTCTCTACCTTAAATAGCACTTCGTCGTAATATTCGGCCAATTTTCTTAACACCGAAATTTTCGTCATTAAAACCATTATATGATTTTTTTGGATGGTTATTCACACAAACCATGATTCATTATGTTGTTATACCATTTAATATTCTTTCGTTAAGAAATACTTTAACTATTTGGAAATCACTCTATTTCTATGGACACGTTGCAATTATTTTAGTTAATGCAGCATTTTGGTTAGGTTTTAATAAAGTAATTGCTAATATTGTTGACGAAGATTTAAAGAAAAAGAAAGGACAAGTTAAAAAATGGAAAGTTGAAAGAAAAGAACGTGATGGTGAAGGGAAAGTTGCTATAAATGAAACTGGCATACCATTAGAATTTGACAATAGTTCAGTTTGTCTTGAGAAGGAAGAATAATTTATTTCAGTGAATATACAATAAGGCTGAGTAACAGTATATTGGTACACGCGAAGAAATTGACGTGAACGTATAATAATGTTACATAATTTTTTGTATAATATATAATTTATCTATGTATATATATTATTGTAATTTTTCTTTTTTTTTTCCTTCTAAAAAATTATTAAAACCTAATTAAGTCTCAACTTTGGCTGCCCATTTGTAATTTCCAAAAGTGCACGTTTGTTTTGTTCACGTTCTTTAATTTTATTTAACCTCCATTCACAATTATCAGCAAATTCGCAATTTCTGAATGTTAACCAAATAAATTAATTAGAGAGAGTTGATCCAGTAACAATAAAAAAAAAGAGCGAGAGAGTTAAATTATACTCACTGGCATTTCCATGCATCTTCAATAGGAACACCTTCGGGTTTTCTATCACCTTTCCAATATTTTACTGTTTTCTCTAAATAGTTATCTAATTGATTTTCATCATAATCAAAATATTTAGAACCTAAATCACTTCCATCCTTTTGAAATTTATAATTAACTTCCAAAATATTACATGATTTCCAAACTTTTCCAAAACTATTGATTACAACCTTCATAAGGTTCCGTAAATTTGGTTTAAATTCCTTCATCTCTTTCTCTTTATAACTTATATTAACAATATTAGCTAATTCTTTAGAAAATTCTAAATCAGGATTCAAATCTAATGTTTGAAAAATCTTCATTTCATCAAATGTTCCTTGTACAAGTTCATCAAATAGTTTTTTATAAAGCATTAATTGAAATTTCACTGATGGCGGAACATATTTTGGTATATATTGTTTTGTCCGAGTTTTTGTGTCGGATATGATCAATTCATCTCTAGATATATCATCAAAAACCGGTTTCATTTCAATTTGGTCAATGATTCCAAAAACGAATAAACCTGATACAAATCCAAAAATTGGTAATTCTCTCGTTTTTAAATTAATGAAAAGTGAGTCAATTCCAAATATTAAATTATATAACCTATGGGATAAATCGATAAATAATAATTTTTTGTTAATATAAAAGAAGTTTTTGACTTCAATTAGAGAAAAGTAACTCTTACTTTATACCCCATATATCCTCTTTAGTATGAGTTGGTATTGAAATTATGTCATGTTCTTGTAATTCTAATTTATTATGTATTTCAGAACCAATTTTCATAGCTAGTGTTTCTTTTCTTCCACCTGCGATAAAAAAATAGTGCTGTTGAAGTTCACACCAAGCAAGTGAAGAAAAATCGGTAACAGATAAACTTTTAGAATCACGAAACCGTTCATGTGGTGATTTTTCTTCTTGATTTTTGATATCAGAAGGAACGTCGGAATTATTTCGTATTACCATTATTTTTCTCATAAGTTTATACTTTTGAAAAAAATTCGGAAAATTTTTTTCTTTATTAGTCATATCTAGAGCTTTAAGTTTAATACGCTTTTTGTTATTAATTAAGTTAGTGATATTATTATTATCACGGGGCCCGACTAACTTGCAGAGATAATTGAAACAGCATGTAAACATATAGTGATTAATGAGTGATATAACTGAATAATGAAAGAGAAAAAATGTATCAAGATATGTAATTTGTACTGGTATGCGTGCATATACTATATACAGTACGCGTTTAAAGATCTATGATGTGTGAAATATTTCAGTCATGTGATTTGCATCTATTTTAAAAAAATTTTTTTTTTTTATGGAATGAAATTTCACATCTTAAATGACTTCATCTTAAGTGACTTTTTATTCATAATGTTAGGACCACGGTTTAATAAAGTTTTTCGAATTAATCTTTTATCATGTCAAAACAATTTATCCAATCCTCGTTATTTAATTCGGAAACCAAACACTTTGTTTCTTTTTACAAAAATATCTCTTGGACGAAATTATTCTAGTGAAGCAGAATTACGAGATTTACGAGAAACTTTAGAACGTATTGATCCTAGATATGTTCCAGACTTTGACTTTGGAATAATTGGTAATTAAAATTCAAAAAAAAAAAAATTATATTCATATATGTGCGAATAAATTTTTTAAAAAATAAAAATCTTTTTCTTAAAAAAAAAATGAAAAATATATATTTATAAAAAGATCCCTATTTCAAACCATTACAAATGCCATCTATTTTTTCTAAAAAATATTATCGAATATTATACGAAAATTCAAAGAATACATTTAAAAATTTCATGTTGTAAATATATATATATTTCCTCTTTTTATACAAGTAAGATAAAAAAAAATGATTTTTTTTAAAAAAAAAATTATCTTTTTTTATTATCTTATAGTGGTCTTAATATAGCATATTGTGAAAGAAAATATTCCGAATATAAAGATAAGCCCGCTGAATATTGGTCACCAAAATCGTTTAAATCAAAGGCTTTGAACCTTTATGTTGAAATGAATGAAAATTATGCATCGTAAGTTGATTGATTAGTTTAACTCTTTGAAATACGACGAATCTATATTTATATATATACTTTTTTATAGGAAAAATTTAAAAGCATTACAAAATCTTGTGGAGGATCGAATGTATAATGTATGTTTTCAAAAAAAAATATATTGTACATATATGAACGTCTAATTTTGATTTATTTATTATGATGAACTTCTTTAATGTTTTTTTTTCTTTTTATAAAAGAAAATTAAATATGATTTGAAGCATAGAGAAGGCAAATTTATATGGAAATATCATGGACTTGTAGAAAAACCGAAATATATAAACGTTCGATGTATCCTTGGGCATACGCGTTCAACTGGAAATTATCTAGTTCAATTGACGATAAAATTACATACTAAACAGGTTAATTGTCATCATCTCTTTTCCGTCCTTTTTTATATATTAAACGCTCACTCACTTTTCTTTCTAGAGTGTGGGATTATATAATAAAGCAGGTAAATTGATTGCTGGAGACCCAAAGAAGGTTAAGGATGTACTTGAATATGTTGTATTTCAACGTAAAATGTGGGATAAGAGTAAAGGGTGGACTATTTATGGATATTTTAATGATATTAATAACAATTTACTTACGCAAACTAATACGCAAACTAAGGTCAGTATGCTATATATTGTACTTCATTTGAATAATACCCACAAACTCGAAACACACTTATATTAAATTGCATATTTGTATTATATATTATTTTTAATAGATACAAGATGTTTAATTATATATTCATGATTATACTAAAAAAAAAATTTACACTAAAAGAATAGTTATTATGACAAAATTCATTATTTAAATTTCTCCTACACCAGAACCCTCATAACTTCTGTAATGATCCATATTGTTATAATTATTATTATAATAATTAGATCCATACCCTTCCATCATTCCTCTTTGTTGTATTATCCCTTGTTTATTTTGAACATTATAATATTTATCATAAAATTCTTCAGGCATTCTTCCACCATTTCTTGCCTTATAATTTGCTAAAGCCTGAGCACGTCTTTTCAGTTTTTCTGCTTTAATTCTATTATTTTCTTGTTCCTCATAAGCTAATTCATCACTTGTAGAAGAGATCAATAATTTAGTAATAACCTCGGAGAACCATCCTGCCATACCACCAACAAGGATTCCAATTAAAGCTGCTGACGTCAAAAACATATATAATGGATAAAAATAAGAATTTATCTTTTGTGTAATAGTATAAGGTGTTAGAATAAATACGTTATATAAAATTCCTAATATCCAAAATACCGGACTTAAGACATAAAGAATGAATGTCCATATATATGATATTAAAGTGTAAATTATATTATAGACAAGAATAAATGGAAGTAATAATGACTTTAAATTTTCGGTGTTTATTTGATCCGAATTATTATTCTCGGCTTCTTCTATTAACGGAGGTGATACTTTTTTTGATGGTGGTAAATGTTCAGTGTCAGCGTTAACTTGAGTTATGATACAGAGAGTGAATGATAAGGTTATAATGCAAAGTACAAAACAAATCTTTCCGGTCATCTTTTTTAATTGTTTAAAAAAAAAAAATTTTTTAGAAAGAAGAGATTAATTTTTTTTCTTCCTCTTAAAATTGAATATTTTTTTAAATTAAAATGAATGGGGAAAACAATTTTAAAAAGGTTAGTATTAATTAATATCGTAACAACCTTTATGCAACCTTATTATATTGAAAATCACTAGGAAATCATATGTTTGTGATACGTAACTTTTCCCACATTATTTAATTACATAAATAATTTTGGGAGATAAAGCTTTTTTTATTAGTCAAATTTTTTTATTAGTCAAATCGAGAAAATATAAAAGCAAAAGAGTATCCTTTTTTTTAAAAAAAACATTACATCATGTAGCGATTTCGTCATTTAATTAGTTATGTTTTTAGTATGACAATTTTTTTTGCCCAACTCACGTCATGTGACTTAGATTATATCAATAGGACGCGCCGACGCGGCTCCATTTTTGAGGCTTTTTTGTGTTTTATCATTTTACCTTGTTAATTGTAATAATGATTTTATATTTTAAGCTAAGAGTATTGTACTCTTTCCTCTTGTCTATAAAATAAAAAATAAGCCATTTTTTCAGTGGATTTTGCTGAAGAAAAAACTTTTGCTCAATATTATTACCATAATTATCTAAATAAATTTTTTTTTACTTTTAAATATGATATCATTAATTCAAGTTGGAAATTATATATCAATCAAAAAATTTCTTCACAAAATGGAATTTTTATATCCCCAGTTTTTGCAACTTCTTCTTATCAAGCTTGGTTTTTACATATTGATCTTGTAAGTTATTTATATCTATTTGGTTTGAAAAAAATCAACTATTATTGATTATCATAATTAAATAACAGTAATTAAGATTTCTTTGTTTGAATAGTCATATCAGGAAGCACATTGCTTGTCTCATTGTAATTGTGCTTTTTCGTGTTTCTTGTCCGTATCGGTTGTTCCGTATTCATCGACTTTATATTCAATAGTAGATGGTATAGAACAATCGGATGAAAATCAATGTAGAGTATCAATTTTCTTTCAAACGGATTGCTTCGGAGAGGATCTTGCCGTAGAATCACAAATGGTTGAAGTTTCTAAACTACGGCATTTTGGTGATTATATTTTAATGTTTATAATTTTTCAAAGTGATCTTTATAATAATTTGTCTTTGTTAAATCAAAAAAATTATCAATTTTTTTTTTCTCAGGTATCTCTTTTAAAAATATTTGTTCTCGTAGGTCAAGAAGATTAGGATATCTTTTTGATAATGTTCCTACTGCACCAAATATTATATTTTGTATTAAAGGTAGATATTTATATGCTCATTCAGAAATTATTGAAAACGCAACCACCAAATTTAAAGAAATGTTAAAAATTGGAAAACCCCATCAACAAAAAGAAAATGATACGAACGAAAAAAATTCAAAAAGATTTATACGTATCGAATTATCAAACATAGAATTTTTAACTTTTAAAACAATACTTTACTATTTTTATACTAGTACAATATATGTTGATAAATCTTGGAATATACTTGATTTATGTTATTGGGCTAAAGAGTTTGAATTAAATGAATTAGTTGAAATAGCAAAAGCAGATTATAAACTTAGATTAAATATTGAAAATATTTTTGAAGAATTACTTAATGTTGGACTTTATTTAAAAGATATTAGAGATGAATCAATAATTTTTATAGCAAAAAATTTTCCTTTAATACAATCTACTATTGGATTCAAAAAATTTATTTTGAATTTGAATCAATATCCTGGCGCGAGAGATATTTGGTTGGAAATTACGAATACTATAAAACGATTAGGCTACTCTAATTATTTATCCGTACCTCTCTTTAAAAATATGTGAAAAAAATTTAAAAAAAACAATTTTTTTCTTGTGATGATGTGTACATTCCAATTAGCTTTAAAAAAAAAAAATTATTATACCAGACAGGAAATTTTTATAGTGGTTCTCTAATTTCAGCCAGAAGTAATTTGCATAATTCTGGCCAAAGTAAGGTCCATTTATGCCTTATAAGTTACAACGCCTTATAATTATTTACTCCCATTTTTTCCATTAATATATACCCATACACTGATCTTGGAGTTTCGATATCTTCAAAATTTATAAAAAAAAATAGACATCGAACATTGGATTCATTGGGATTTCTTCCTTTCTTCCTGAGCTGATAAAACTGCGGCACACATCTAAACTCCCTTATAAATCTCGGTAAAATTCTTAAACGGAAAATGGATCACAAGCTACAAAAAACCGAGTGTCCTCCGGGGATTATTTGATATTTAGACAGGGGCATACGTGGTATGTAACGGTGCTTTCAGATGGAACGATTTTCATTAAGCTTGACCAAAAAGTACGTGAAAATATTTCTTCATTTTGAAAATGATTATTTTAATAATTATTAAAGAAATGTTTACTGAAATTTTTGGAAACAACAGGCTGAACAAGTTAAACTGATACTGTGTTCTTGTGCTTTTAAAAGATACACTCCAATGTATAATTCCTTAACGGAATGTCCCCAATGTAATTTAAAATTTAAATGTCCAGATAAATGGTGCTCAGATTGCGAAATCAAAAATTTTAAATCCAATTTTGGGAATTGGACTAGTAGGAATTGGAAGCTCGATAAAGTTATTCGACGTTCACAATCTAATGCTAAAGGGCCCCTGAATTATTTGGAATGGATTCCACTTACAGAATTTATTGATGTTAAATTCATTGCTGAGGGTGGCTTTGGATGTGTGGAATCAGCAATTTGGAATCTTGGTCCACGTTGGACTTATGAACCATCTTCAAGAAAGTGGGAAAGAAGCGGGCCATATAATGTTGCCTTGAAAACTGTCAATGATTCGCATCAATACTTACAAGAATTTTTAAATGAAGTAAATTATTAAGTGTTATATAAGACGCAAATGAATTTCTATATTTTGTTCTTAATTTCCTTATCCTATTTATATAGGTTCAAGCACATTACATATGCACTTCTGAAGATAATCACATACCACATTGCTTTGGAATTACTCAAAATCCAAAATCTAAAGATTATATTATGGTCTTGGAATATGCACATTATGGCAGTTTGCGTTATTAGTTGGGATGATCGGCTTGTTCTACTCGAAGGACAATTGCTAAAGGTCTTTATTATATTCATGAAGAAAACCATGTTCATCAAGATTTTCATAGCGGAAACATTCTAATTTATCAGAAGGATGGAAAATTATACCCTGCGATTGGAGATTTAGGATTATGTAAACCTTTGAATGAAACCAATGATGAAAGTAAAGTCTTTGGAATAATGCCATACATTGCACCCGAAGTGATCCGAGGTTTAGGAAATACTAAAGCAGCGGATATATACAGTTTTGGAATTATTATGTGGGAAATCCTTACGGGGGAAAGACCATATAAAGATCAACCTCATGATATTCACCTTGCATTTAAAATTCTTGATGGACTTCGACCAACTATTCCTGAAGGCACACCTGATAATTATAGAAATTTAATGCAAAAATGTTGGCATAAGAATCTAACAGAGCGTGCTAAAAATATTAAAAATGAAGTAATGAGTTTGAGAAATTCATTAGATCTCGATCTTAAACATTTGAGGGGACCTGTTGGTAATAACGGTAAGGATTTAAGTTTTAGTACTTTATCAATTCATCCTGAAGCATGCTACGTCAGTAAACATTTACCACTTGACGAATTGCGTGGAGAGTTTTGTCAGCATCCAGAATGGCCTGGAAAAGGATGGGACCTTCTTAAAAAAGAGCCTACAGTAAAAAATGGTATGTTATTATTATAATTTGACGAAATGTTTTAAGTAATGTTATTCATAATATATATATATATTTTTTAACAATAATTTGGATCAAGAAATGCAAAAAACCCAACATAAATATATTAGTCGAGAATATGATTTATCACTTGATATTGAATTTTTGATTATAGATAGTTATCACCGAAAAGATCAAAAAGTTAGAAGGTATTATACCGTAAAAATTTGTTATTTTGTTTATGATAATATAGGAATAAAAGCTATTATTACTTAATTGAGAAGATTGTATTGTAAAATTAGATTACTGCATAAGTAAAAATCGTAAAAGTCTTCCGTTGATTCGTAACATCAATGAGTCAATGACTATATTGAAATATTCTGAATTTATGCGTAAGCGGTGTATCAGATCGTGCAGATAATATACAGATGTTTGCATTTTTCTTTTAAATAAATTTATATGCGAAAACAGATTTAGTAAAATTTATAGATTTTTAAAATATTTTTTTATTTTATTAGTGTAAGGTATAAGAGCCATTACGGATGTTAAGTGTAATTTTTTCCAGTGTTGACCTTTAATGTTGTATTATTACCGTTATTACTACTAGAGGGACTTTTTCCTTTCATGAATTCGCGTACCAATAGAATAATAAATGATATAATTATATATTTTAAATAAAATAAATTATATGCGCCATTGACGGAACTCGCGATCACGTGGTTAATGGTGCCGATTTGTAATTCCTTTCCATCTCTATGCCTTCTTCCGTTCCATTAACTTGAGTCCAAGCTCTAATGGACAATACATGCAGAATATGTCGTCAATTAACAGGATCTTGTTCGTAAAGCACGATCTGCTGTACAAAAAATTTTAATCCTATGTATATTTAGGTTAAACTGGTTGCTAAATGAATAATTGAATACAAATTTTAGCAGCTCTCGTTACTTAATAACCGAGTTATTATTATTTGATAAAAGGCAAAATAAATGGTAGATGGAAACGATTTTCATTAGACTTCGTCACGTATTTCAACATAAGATAGATTTATTAGATTTTCTTAAAAGCAGAACATTTACGGATATATAGAATCTCGCCTTTTATAAAGAATATATACCAGTATGCTAAACAAAGATTCAAAGGTCCAGATAAATAGTGTCAGGATTGCGAAACCAAAAATTTCAAATCCAATTTTGGGAATTGGTCTAATGGAAATCAAATGCTTGATCAAATTATCCAACGTTCACAATCCGATGTAAAGGCCTCTGGATTATCTGGAGTGGATTCTATTTACAGAACAGAATTCAATGATTTTAACTTCATTGTAAGGGGTGAAATCAGCAATTTCCACGTTGGGCCTATAAACCATCTTCAAGAAAGTGGAAGAAATGGGGCATATAAAGTAGCTTTGAAAACTGTCAATGATTCGTATTGACTTATTAGTTGGATATAAAAATCTAAAAGAAATGTTAATTATTAACAAATTCTGCTTTTTCCCATTACAGTATAAATTTTTATATAAATTATATGATTGGAATAGAAAAATAAAACATGAATTATTATTAAAATTAATAAATATATAGTTTTAATAAATAATTGTTTTATAATAAATAAATAAATAAATAATTGGTTTATTATAAAAATTAATTTTTTTAATAAATAAATAATTGTTTTATTATAAAAATTATTTTTTTTAATTAATATATTTAATATTCTTAATATTTATTAATTAAAATAACTTTAATTTGACAAAAATTAAACTTATAACTTCAGATTGATAAAAAAATTTTTTTTTATTAAATATATAGCAATATACTTAAAACCATTGAATTTTTGAAAAATAAAAAACTTAAATTTTTCCTCATAGTAAAACAACAAAATAATAAAATGAAATGCACAGTTATTTTATAAATCACGTGATTTGTGTGCTTATGCAGGGGGAATTTTACATATATTTACTATAATATGGGACCGACGTTTAGTGTGATTGTACTTATAACTAATAAAGTGATTATAAAAGAGGTATTTTATATATAAAAAAATCTGGACTAAAAAATGTGTGCTTTAAGGAGGGGAGTTCTTATATGGGAGGTGCCTATAAAGGGGGTTGACTGTATATTATAATATATAAATACTTTTTTGCATTAATATTGATTAAGATAGAACCCATAGATTACTAGTGAAAATTTTACTTTTATATGAAATCTTACTTTAGAATTTTTTAAATTCTATTGGTTAATTAATTAAAAAGGAAAAAAAATCATAATAATATAACATAAAATTTCTTTTTATAGTGGAATTTTTAAAGAGTTTTATATGTAAACCTTACCTTAAGTGATTAGACCATAGGGTAACCTGCTGATCTTTCTTAATAGTAAATAGAAGCCTATTAAGATTCTCATAATTTTGGTTAAAATTGTTATAATTTTAGTCAGAGATATTATTTTTACTTTTTGCAAAATATGGTAGATTATTTAAAAGTTATATTTTAAATCTATATCTTAAAAAAATATAAATAATAGTATTATTGTAATAGGACTTTATAATAAGTCACCCTCAAGCTTAAGATAAAAATTATATATAAAATTCTATCTTTGCAGATCCTATTATAAAAAAAAATTTTATGTTATATTATTACTTTTTAGCTAATTAACCAATAGAATTTAAGAAAAAAGTAAGGTAAAAATCATTAATAAAGGGCCAATTTTCTATAGTGACCTTTATTATAAGTAAGCAAGGTCTTATTGTAATATTAAATGTAATATTAAATTATAATATTCCTTTTTAATTATAGTATTTTTCTAATATAACATCTAAAAATTTAATTAATAATTTAATGTATTGTATTTTAAACATTATACAAAATATTTTATAAATTTAGGAAACTTTGAATTTTTTCAATATATGAAATTTTATTTATATTTATTATTTATTATATACTTTACCACTTTTATTATTAAAATAGCAAAATTAGTAAAATACAAAATTAATGGATACCTTTATAAAGAAATACATATGTGAGGATTGGATCCCAATAAAGAAGAAGTTTGATAAGGTTACATTATACATAAGCAAAAAATTATTGGAGTAAGACTTTTTTTTTTAAAAAAAAAAATAATAATAATGATAATAATTTTACTTTTTATTTTTAATTTTATTTTATTTTACTTTTATTTCTCTTTTTAGTTTAATTTTGGTTTATAGTGTGATATAATAGTTAATGTTTGATCAGACTGGCCAGGAGCTGGGAGTATCATTTACAGAATAGTTGTGATTATTATGTAGTCCAAATATATTCTAATAAAATGATACATGATTCAACATTTAAAAAAAAAAAAAAAAGTAAAATACAAAATTTTACTATTATGTAGTTATATAAAAATAATTGTCACCTATATTATGCTCTTTACTTTTCATTCCAGGAATCTAGAATTTTTCAGTGTATGAAATCTATTTGTTACCAATTACTAGTGCCAAAATACATCGTAATTCCAGCCAAATAATTATATTGATGCTGGGTAAAAATCATCACATGACTTTTAGCCAGAATTACTGTGAGGCATTTTAATAACATGATATGATTGATATCCATATCTGATATACCAAAAATTGTGATTGTTATGTACTATGGTATCAGGATTTGTGAAACTCAATATATATTTGAGAAAGTACAAACGATTGGTAAATATTTTGTATACTTAAAAAAGACATAATTTTATATTTTAATTGATTATTAAAATATTGGCGTTACATTTGATTAATACGTTAGACAACAATTTTAAATTTAATTCTGAGATAGAAGGGTGGATGTTTCGTTTTTTGATCTCTGGTCGAACAAGGATTAAAGAATATGTGAGCGCTTTGGCTTGTATTATTTAGTGTCTAAAGTTCACTTGTGGAGCTTGCGGGACGCATGTGATTTTTTTTTTCCACTTATAAAATTTAAAAATACATATGTAGATTTCGCAAGGAAATTTTTTGGATATTTCCACAAATTTCTGCAATATTTGCAAGTCCGCAAGTAAATTTTAAAAACTGATATTATTAAGGTATCTAATATAAACAAAAAAATCAGATATAACCTAAACTTACCTTCTGATATAACAGATAATGGATTTTTTAAACAGCGCTTAAATTCAAATTCCGTTCCCGTTTAACGATATTTAATATGAAACATGAAAATCGTTGAAACAACCAATTGTGCACGAAAAGATAATCTCATCAGTGCTTAAAATAAATAATGTCAAATGTATATATTTTTTTTATTTTAATACAAAATATAAATATTATATATATATATATATTATATACTATATTAATTATAATTGATTACAATAATTACAATAAATTAGATTAATTTGTTTATTTTAAATTTATCACAAATCTCACTTAAAAATTTATAATGAGCGCATAAAGTAACCATGCACTTGAATTCCACACACTCCAAACATCTTAATTGTAAACATTTGAACCTTTCAACAAATTTCTCACATTTCAATTCTTCTGATATATCATCATCATCACAATTCCCTATTAAAACATTAATACTTATTAATAATTTAGCCCAATCATTAATTGAAATCCAACTTTCCATCAAAGAATTAATAGAAATTACATAACAAATGATAAATTGTTCAATACGAGAAGCATAAGTAAATTTATGCTCACAATTTATCCAAAGTAAGAATAAACGATAAGAATTTAATAACATGGAAAGTTTTTGTGAAAGTGTAACAGAAAAATGTTCTAAAGAAAGGATCAAATAAATTTGATTATAATAATCATTTTTTAAATTAAATAATTTTAAAGTGGTTTTTGTGAGAGATACTAAAGTAATTTTATTTAAATTATTTTTACTTTTTAATGAATTTAATAATTTTGAAGGGTAAAGATTAGATGAAGAGAAATGTGATAATATTGAATATTCGAGTGATTGAGTGATTGAAATCAAATCTGGATGATTATTCAAAAAATTTCTTTCTTCCAAAGAAATATTAAGAGAATTCAATTCAAAATTATCTAAATCATGAATATTTAATTTCTCTATTAATTTTTCTAAATAAAGTGAACGTAAAAAATTTATTTTAAAAGGGTCCAATTCTTTAGGGAATAATAAATTAAATTCATTAAATATTTCAAATAAATTATCAATATTATTACATATTGATAATTCATCCCCCTCGTAAATATCTCTAAGAGCATATAATCCCAAATTTAATTCCTTGTTAATATATTTTTTGACTAAAAAACAATTGGGATTTTTCGAGAATTTAATGAAACAAGATAATTTTGATTGAGAATTTTCTATACCAGAACAAATATCGTAATATAAATCCGACTTTAATATATTATCATTAAAGAAATGTTCACATGACTTTTTTGTGTGGCATGTGGTTGCGGTCGTGGTCGTAGCGCATGTATGATGAAGTATATATTGAAATTTTCGAAATTTGTGTTTTGATACTAATGTGAAATCACCTTGAGCTCTTTGAAAAACATATACTGAAGGATTTTTAGGTTTTTCATTAAGAAATTTTTCGTTCAAGATCTTTTCATTCGAAGAAGAAGTATCATATTCCTTCTTTCTCATTTGTTGACAAATATAAGGAAGCTTTTTAATAAACATGATGAATTTTAATTTTTCAAAAGAAATAAAAAAAACATAAATAATTAATTAGATAAATAAATAATTAGATGGATATATAAAAACTTTTGAATTTAAAGAAAAAAAAAGAGAAGAAATGATACAAAAAAAAAAAAATTTTTTTTAAAAAAAAATTTCTCAGGCTCAAAATTTTAACTTTAAATATTATATTTAGGTCATTAGTTTTATAGGTTTTTATTTTTTTTACAATATAATCAATATAAATTGGATGATCTAACTTAAAAAAAAATATTTATTTACGTATTCTTTTAAATGATAATTAAATGAAATTTGATGATCAAATTTATTATAATAAAATTATATTCAACTGATATTCAACTGAACGATGTAGGCATCACCACAAAGTTTTTGGTATTTTAATCACATCCTTTAGATATATATTCATGTGAAAGTTTATCCTTAAATGCTTAAATCATTTCTATCATTTCAAAACATTCCGCCAGATAATCACGTTATCCCAGAAAATCGTACCGTTTCCGTAAGATACAACAAATTAATTAATGATGACTAAATTGTGTAACATAATATTTTTTTGTTAGAATTTAAGAAGAATTTTCTCTTGATAAAAGAGATATCGTTTAAAATATATAAATAACAATAATTGTGCGCTCCGAATGGTCCGATGACAAACAAATATTAGTACAAAACTTTGTGCTTGTGTAAAAATAAACAATGTAAATAGTGGTACATGTTATATCGAACGCATCAAAAAATTTTTTCTCTCTTTTTTTTAGCCAATTATAAATTAAATACTATGTCTATCGAACTTATCTTTTTATAATCAAACAACAAATAGTGAAGTTCCAAATATGTTAATTCATTGCGTAACAAAAAATTTATTTATTTTTCATTTTTCAATTTCCTTTTTGATGGGATTTTTGTATCGTACAGTATAACATAACGTGGTGCGACAATGAGAACATAAACGAATAGTATTAGTATCGGAAGTGCTTATTATCTAACGTTAGATCCTTAACACGTAAATTACCGAAAGACCAACGATCTTTTCAAGGGGCACCAAAATCCGCAGTCGTGCATACAGTAGGCTGCATAGGTTACACTGTTGATAATTTGAGGGGATTTTTTTTTTTGCCAAAAAGTTGATGAATCAATGAATCATGCACAAAATTTATCTTTTCAATGGCGATATAAGAAGATTAAGCCGTAAAATTTGTCGCACAATTGTATTTTTACTAAATCAAAAACAATAACGACTTTTTTATTTACAACTAAAAAACACCGATGATTTTTTTAGGCTAAGCTCTGGGGCTAAGAAAATGTCTATGATTTAATGGTAAACAATGGTAAACATAAAAAATACTTTTTCAATTTTTTTCGGTTAACAACAAATAACTTGCAGATCTTTGAAGACGATACAAAAAATAAAATTTGACGATTATATTTATCTTTCTCGTCAATTCTTTAAATATTTCTGATTCACGATTTAATAGTCATCTTCAATCATCTTTATAAACAGATAGACCTCCCCAATATGAACATGTCGCAACCCAAGAGTGATTATGCCTCGACAAGAAGTGCTTCATACGTTATCATTCAATAGTAAATTCTCGCGTGTAATCTTTCCTTGATAAAACTTCGATTTAAGGTAATACCTATTTTCTGATCCTACATTTACCAAAATCAAGTAATACAAATGTTAAATATTTCGTTATTAATATGAAAATTTCAATAAACTAGTCATTTTTCATGAGATATCACGATGATATTTATCCAAGATAATTTTATTATCTGCAAAATTCATGACAAACATATCGTGCAACTTAATAACTGATGATACAACATTCGTTGTTTGATGCAATGAAAAATATATTTTTGATCAACAAAATACCAAATAATAACACTTGCTTCGTTATTAAATCCCGAGCTAACGCCCTTGTGAATACTATTCCACCATATTTTTGTTTTAAATAATATAGCCATCCCTTAATATAGTTTTATAAACCTTACCGGGCCTCCTTTAGCAAGAAATTAAACGTTTATATTCGATCCATTCATCATTTGTCGTTTAATGCAATTTAGTTTAATGAAAAATATATTTTTATACGTTATTATACCAAAATTCACGTATAAAAATATTTTACCATCAGCTTCAAACCGGTAAAGCTCCTTAATTTTTATTTTATTCTATCTATTCTATCATACTCATTCTTCAATATAGTTTTATAAACCGTGCCGATCACCTCCCTTAGCAAGAAATTCAAATATCTCATAGTAGAAGTGATAAGTTATTCGTTGTTTGATGCAATTTAATCTAATGGAAAATGTAATAAAATACGGTTGTGTACCATCTTTACCTCATATAAAATTCCGAGCTAATGCCTTGTGTACCACCGATTTCTTTATCTGTATTATATCTACCCTATAAAAAAAAAGTCGATCCGTGTTTTATATTCCCGTAAAAGGCTCATATTTCCGGAATTAATAACATTATATCATGGAACTTATCGAATAGTTTACATTTTCCGTGAATGGATCCGTGAATTACAGAAATAACGGATAAAATTGTTATAGGGCTATTCCATCATACATGTTTCAAATTCCATGAACATCCTTTTACTATAATTTTATAAATCGTACCGAGCTCTCTGTGTTTGTGTACCAGAAATAATAATGAGGCCGTCTCCCCTCTATTTTTGAAAATTTTAAAAATAATTTACTTTTTGTTCACATATGTTTAAAGCACCCCCTCTCTTTTCCGAAATTGAGTGGTATCGAATATTTCCGATTTTACCGAAAACTTTCGAAATTTTTTAATGTTTTAAATACCATGTTTGTTTAAATTATTCCCTCCTTCCCCAAATTTTTCAGCCGGAAAGGACGTTAAATTAATTATTAGTTTGGAATGGCCTAATCTTTACCTTGTAAAAAATTCTGAGTTAATGCCTCGTGAATCTTTAAATGATACTATTTTACCATCAACTTCTTAATCTTTATATTTACATATCTGTGTCAAGTAATATAACGCATCTTTAATTACAGTTTATAAATCGTCCTCCCTTAGCAAGAACTTCAACGTAATATATAACTATCCTTCAATATAGTTTTATAAACCGTACCGATCTCTTCCTTCACAAGAAATTTAACGTATAAATATCTCATATTCGATTTATACGTCATTCATTGTTTAATCTAATGAAAAATATATTTTTGATTAATAAAATACATTTTTATACCAAAATAATAATCATCTTTACCTTGTCCGAGTTAGTGCCTTGTGAATCTTCAAATAATCTATTTTACCCGTCATCTTTTTAATCCTTATATATATGCCAAGTAATATAAACATCCTTCATACAGTTCATAAACCGTACCAAGCCCTCCCTTGGCAAGAAATTCAACGTAATATAACCATCCTTTAATATAGTTTTATAAATCATACCGATCCCTCTCTTAGCGAGAAATTCAACGTTATAAAATAACTCATATTTGATCCTCATGCAATTTAATCTAATGAAAAATATATTTTTGATTAATAAAATATGTCTGTATACAAAAATAAGAATCTTTACCTCGTATAAAATTCTTGTGTGTAAATAATGCTATTTTACCCTCATTCCATCAACTTCATAATTTTTATTTTATTCCATCATACTTATCTTTCATTACAGTTTATAAACCGTACCAAGCCACCCTTAACAAGAAATTCAACCATCCTTCAATAAAGAAGCCACCCTTAACAAGAAATTCAACCATCATTCAATATAGAAGCCACCCTTAATAAGAAATTCAATCATCATTCAATATAGAAGCCACCCTTAACAAGAAATTCAATCATCCTTCAATTTAGAAGCCACCCTTAACAAGAAATTCAATCATCATTCAATTTAGAAGCCACCCTTAACAAGAAATTCAATCATCCTTCAATATAGTTTTATAAGCCATACCGATCCCTCTCTTAGCAAGAAATTGAAAGTTATAAAAAAACTCATATTCGATCATCATTCGCAATTTAGTTTAATGAAAAATATATTTTTGATTAATAAAATACGGCTGTATACAAAAATAAGAATCTTTACCTCGTATAAAATTCCGAGTTAATACTTTGTAAATAATGCTACTTTACCATCATTCCATCAACTTCAACCATCTTTCATTACTATTTATAAACTGTACTGAGCCCTCCCTTAGCGAGATATTCAAAGTGATATAACTATCCTTCAATATAGTTTTATAAGCCATACCGATCCCTCTCTTAGCAAGAAAATCAACGTTATAAAATAACTCATATTCGATCCATTCAAAAGTTATACGTCATTCGCAGTTTAATCTAATGAAAAATATATTTATGATTAATAAATACGTTTGTATACCAACCACAGAGACGTGTTGTTCAACAAGCGGATTACGAAGATTATGATGAGCAACCTGATGACATTGGTGATGATCCAGGTGCCGCTGATTGGGGTAATCCTCAAAATAGTATTGATCTTATTATGGGAACTGGAGCGTCCAGAATAATTGCGAAAGAGTTTAAGAAGATTAAAGTAATGGTCTTTACCTCGTAGAAAATTTCTAGCCAATCCCTTATAAATCTTTATTAATACTATTTTACCATCAAATCCTTTACCCGTATCGTATATCTATTCTATCATTTACCACGCGTCCACGCCACAAGCTTCTTAAAGTTATTTCTGCTCGTCCAAATACAGGATTACAGGATTGACATAAGATCAACAATTGATTAATGAAATTTAATATGTATATGGTTTATTTATTAAAAACGAATGAAATCATTAAAATGTTTTTTACTTTAGAAAGGCGACTGCTATGGTCAACATTTTAGAGGTTACATAAAGAAACATAAAATCTATCTAAATAATTTGACTAATCACGTATACTCCATACAGAATGTCGAAAGCAAACCAAAAAAACAAAAAAAGTTCTACATTTGTCACGTGACTAATATCGATCGTGATTTAAAATTAAACACGAAAATTAAATCTTTAAAAATTCAACCTCTCATTTCTACACATTGAACCACCTTAATCTTCTCCCTTGCTTTAGCCAATAATTCAGGTTTGATCTCACCAATAGTTGTAATAATTAATTTATTACAAGTAAAACCATTATCCAAACATTTAAGAATTTCTTTTAAATAATCATTATCAAACCAAATATTTTTAGTAAATTCCAATACATGTAAATTTAAACCTCTATTTTTTCTAATATTATTCACCAAAAATTTCGATAAAGTAAATTCCGAAAATATAAAATTTCCTCTAATACCAAAATATTTTAAATTATCAAAATTAATTTCTGATAAAATAGATAAACATTTAGCGAAATTATTATTTTCTTCATAATTATCTAAAATAATAGATTGAATATAATAACTATTATAAGATAATAAACTTATAAAATGATTATTTTCAAAAGGTAATAAATCACATTTAAGAAATTTAATATTAGAAAAATTTGTTGAAATGAATTGAATAGGATTAAAATTTGAACCAATTAATGAATATTTTGAATATCTTTTCCCAATATCTAAATATTTTAAATTTGATGAACAAATTTGTAATAAATATTGTAAGAATTGATGAGGAATAAAAGAATTATTTAAATCAATCTTCTTAAGATTAGGTAAATATATTTTTTCTTTAATAATAAAATCGAAATTATTATCATTATAAATATCATTATCATTATCATTATTATTAAGATTATTATTATTATTATTATTATTATTATTATTATTATTATTAAAATTACAATTATATAATAAAAGTTTTTGTAGTGATGAAAAAGCTCCCAAATGAAAAAAAATCTTTTGATCCTCAAATTTAATTCCAATTAAACTTAAAGATTTTAAATTTTTTGCATGAGATTCTTTTAATTCTTCCATAACTAAAGAAAAATCCACTGGACAATTATGTAATATAAAATGTGATAAATTTTTTTGTTTATGAATTAATTTAATTAAATTTGCAACTTCTTCTCTTAAAAAAGAACTTTCTCTTGATAAAAGCCAATTTAAATAATTTGCTTCAACTGAATGATCAATATTTATTTCCAATTTATCAAGATTATGTACATATTTTGATAATGATAAAAAGAAATTTGACATATTTCTCTTTGTCGTACAAATCAATTCCCTAATATTTGATAAACAATTTATCGCGTTAAAATATTTAGGTAATGATAAGTAAATTTCTGCCACCTTATATTCAGGATTATCTCTTACACCTCTCTTATATAATGATAAAGCCGTTGAATACCGTTGATAATCTTTACATGGATTAAAAATAGATTTGTGATAAATTTGATTTACGTCGAATGAAAGTCGTCGTAAATTATTTTTACATTTTCTCATAAAAAAATTCAAAATAATTTCTGATATAATTTGATATTGAGAAATAGTATTTCTTAATTCCATCAATACTTTTGGATCGGCCAAATATTTTATTATTTCCGAATAATCTAATTTTTCAATTATTTCGGTTGATGTTGATTGATCTGATTGAGTCGTATCATTTGTCTCATTCGTCACATTTGTCGCATTCGTCGTTGCATTTGTCACATTTGTCTCATTCGTCTCATTCGTCTCATTCGTCTCATTCGTCTCATTCATCGCATTCGTTACATTCGTCTCATTCGTCTCATTTGTCGTATTCGTCTCATTCGTCTCATTCGTCTCATTCATCGCGTTCGTCGTATTCGTCGCATTCGTCACATTTGTCTCACTCTCATTTGTAGTATGATAATCAGATGTAATTTCTTCAAAAAAATTTTCCGGTATAATTGGATCAATATCATTATCATTTTGAATCTTTTCATTAAAATTTATTTCATAAAAATTATAAAAATCAATTATAGCCAAATCAAATTCATGTATATCAATATTTCTTAAAAAATCAATATAATTATGCATAGGATTTAAAATTTGTCCTTGTTTAATAATATTATTATCAATTAAATCTTGTTCATTTTCTAAAATTATAAAAGTAATATAAATATTAATTAATGAAGAAGCTTGACGTCTTCTAGTTAAAAATTTACAGTTACAAGTAGGTGAATCCTCTAATTTTGAAATACAAGAATAAAGTAGTCGAAATGGTTGACTCCAAAGAATATCAATTGTTTGAGACCACCATGTTTTATTCACTAATAAACAACGAAAGAGCGATGCTTTATCGTCTTTTATATACAAAATTATATTTCGAATTATATCTGAATTCAATAATTTCATTATTTTTATTTTAAAAATTCAGAGAGAGAGAACAAAAAGAAAAAGAGAGAAAAAAAAATTTCAAAGGAAAAAAAAAAAGTGGAAAGAAAAAGGTAAAGAATAGAATGTGAAGATGTGCAAAATACATTCAATTTATAATGATAGGCTTAGTACAGTTTTCCGGATTTCCCGAAACAGGTTCAATTTTGTGTATTGTGTACCAAAAAAAAAGGTGATCTTACTGCGGAACGGAAATTCGGAAAATACTGAAAATACCGCGACGGTATAACGTCATATAGTTATGTCAGCTAGTTATGTCGGTTAATTATGTCGGTTAGTTATGTCGGATAGTTGTGTCGGATAATTATGTCGGATAGTTATATCGGATAGTTATGTCGGCAAAGAAAAGTATATCAAAAGTATATCGAGAGTAAAATATATCGATATTATAAATTGATTTTACTATCTGTAATGAAAAAAAAATATAAATTAGAACTTTTTTGTTGCCACCCAAAATTAGATTAGAACTTTTTCGTTATCCCTTCCCCATAAATACATAAATCAGAACTTTTTTCGTTATCCTTTCCCATAATTATATAAATTAGAACTTTTTGTCATCACTTCCCCATAAATACGTAAATTCGGTATCACTTCCCCATAAACACATAAATTAGAACTTTTTCGTTACCACCCACGCATAAACATATAAATTAGAACTTTTTTCGTTATCCTTTCCCATAATTATATAAATTAGAACTTTCTCGTTATCACTTCCCCATAAACACGTAAATTAGTTATCACTTCCCCATAAATGCGTAAATTCGTTATCCCCTTTCTCATAAATACATAAATTTTAGAACTTCCCTTCCCTATATATATATATATCTCTAATCGCCCATTCACCCATTCACCCATTATTCACCCATTATTCACCCATTCACCACTTACCTAGAAAATTATATATTGGATAACATATTAAAGGTATAATTGATTTCGCTTCATTCATATTATCTTTAATGATCTCATCATCAAGATTTCCAAACCAATGTAATTCTTTTAAATTATTATTATGAATTTTTGCATATTTTATAATAATTTCTAAATGATCATTCTTAATCATATATTTATCAATAATTCCTAATATTTTTGGTTTTGCTTTCATTTCATTTAAAAAATAATCTAATTGATTAGGAAGTAAAGTAAAATTAATATAAAGGGAAATAACAGTTGAAGGAATAGAATTAGTTAAATCTATTAAAACATCAGAAAAATTATAACCAAAAATATCAAGATATAAATGATTAAGAGGTAAATTATAAATTAAAGAAGGTAAAATTTCAGGAAATGAAGTGTTAAATAAACCCAAAGATAAATTTTGAATATTTGGACAAAAATTTTTAATAATTTCTAATAAATTATTATCAATAACTTTATCAATAGCAAGAGTAATTAAAGAAAGATTAATCATTTTTAATAATAAACCCATATCATTAATATCAAGATATGAAGGTACATCCCAACTATATAAATGTTTAATTGGTAAATTAATCAAATTATTATTATTATTATTATTATTATTATTATTATTAAAATTAAAATTAAAATTAATATTTTCTTCCATTTGAGCAAAACCTTTTAAATTTAAAATTTCCAAATTATTACAATAAATTAAAATATTTAATAAAGGAACAAAATTTTTTAAACCTTCTAAATAAAGATATTTTAAAGATTTTTTTTGTGATTTAATAGCATCAAATATTGGAGAGAATTTTCTTGGATCCCAAAAATCATTAATTTCTAAAATTTCAAGATTTTTTTGTGATTCAATAAATTGAGATAATAAAATTATTACTTGAGAAGAATATCTTAATTTATTACCAAAATTAATTGAAATAATTAAATGACGTAAATTTAAAACATATTGTTTTAATAAATTAAATAATTTTGATAATTCATTAACGAATAATAATTCCACACCTTTTTTAACTTGATAATTAAAATTCAATTTTTGTAAATTTATTATTGAAAATTTATTTTGTAATAAAGATGAATAATTTAACCAATTATTATAATAATTATCAAAATTATTATAATTATTATTATAATTATTAGGTTGAATAATTAAAATTTTAAATCCTTTTGTACGTTTAAAAATTAAATTAATTAAACCTTGATAAAGAATTTCAAATTTCATTATATCATTATTAATTTCTGGTAAATTATTAGAGATCCATAATTTAAATGTCATCCTAAAATTATATACGTGAAAATTTCGTAAATATTTTGGATAATCAATTAATGATTTTTTTTTTAAAATATGATTTTCAAGTTGAATCTTTTCTTTATTATAAAATTCTTGAATTTCTTCATCTTCAAAACAACTTAATAATGTTTTAATAATCGTTATTGATTTTTTTGAGGTTATTTCTTCATTAAATGGTTTATACCATAAAATTGGAATCGTTTGATAACACCATAATTTATTAATTAATGAACATGAATATAATGTTGAATATTCATTTTTTAAATTTTTCAATACTTCTAAAATACAATCAGCTTCCAAAGTTTTCATTTTTGATTTAAAAAAAAAAAAGGAAAAAAAAAAGGGGGTGTGGAGAAATGATTTCATTATTTATAAATAATTTATATAATTATATAATTATGTAAATCAACGTATGACCAAAAAATTAACGCATGGTATTAGATGATCTAATGGTTGGATATCATATGAATTGTAACATTTGTTCGAAACCATTATAAATTTTTATGAATTTTATGTGGAAAATAGAAAAATGATCATAAATAAATGTGTGGTTACGCTGAAATGTTGAAAATGTTGAAATAGTCATATAATAGTCATTTTAAAAAAGGTTATTTTATTTATTTATTTATTTTTTTTTGAAAAAAAAAANTTTCATAGCCAATCATATTCGATAAAAAAATAAATAAATAAATAAAAAAAAACTGCTAACTGCTAAAATACTTTATTTTCTTAAAATATCCAATTTTTATTTAATTCGGAAGATCTGGCTAAATTTTGGTTAACTCAGCCGAAAGTAAGACAGTATTACATAAAGGGTAATGTGTAACAGGTCAGCGATCATTTGAAGTCCAAATTGTTTACTTTTAATAAATTTCGTGAGATAAAATTTTTTTTTTAAATGAAAAACCCCACAAACTCCAAAACTTTGATAATTAATTTTTAGTTTGAATCATTTTACCCATTTATTTAACCCCTGATTAATTTCTTTTATTTGGTCTTTAAATAGAAATAATGGATAACAATAACAATAATACCACGAATATTCAAGAATTAAATGAAGCTATTCGTATCGAACTTGATAGGCAAGACTCCGTAATAAAGCAACTTTCTGACAAGTTTGGAATGACTGAAAATGTTATCAGGGTAGATCTAAGTTAAAATATTTGATAGATCAAAATCAACTTTGATCATGTTTGTAAAATTTTTTGTAAAAAAAAAAAATAATAATTTATATTTATTTATTTTTTTTTATTTTTTTTTTTTATTTTATAGAATATAATGAAAGAGAAAAGACCGGTTGTTAGGAAAGAGAAAAATTTTACCGCATTTAACATGTTTGTTGAAGATTCAAAGTTACGAGGAAAAAGTGATTATAATGATTATATTAATTATACAGTTTTAAAAGTATATATATACAATATATTTTCATTATATAATATTTATATTTTATTGATTTTTTTAGATAATTATGAATCACGGTTAATGTGGGACCTGATGTCATCGGAACAAAAGTTATCATATCAAGCAGAAGCTAATAAACGTAATCTTGAAAATTGTTATTCCGAAGTTAAATATATCCAAAATTCTGATGAAAGAATAAGTGTATTAAAAGATGGTTTAAGAGAATTAAAGTATCAGGTATAAAAAAAAAAAATGTATTATTATAAATGTAAATTTTAAATTTATGAATGTAAATATGTATATATATATATTTCTATATACATTTTTTTTTTTTTTTTTTTTGAAAAAAATAAATGGGTATTTTATTATAGTGCTGTCGATTAAATCAAGAATGTGGTTGGGATTTCTTAGTTATTACTATTGAACCAAACGTGATGCCAAATTCTTCATTTGGGTTTGGAAGTTCGTTGACAAATGATTTTTGTATTGAACAATCTGATGATATTTTACAACTTAGTAAAAAATTATATCAATATGGCGAATCAAGGAAATACCGTATGTTTATTTTTATTTTTTATTTATTTCTTTTTTTTTATTCATTCTTTGCAAAAAAACCTAACTTTACTTCTTATCTTTTAGAAATAATATCAAAACAACAAATTGATACAGAAAACGATAAATTAGAATCCTTAATATCTCAAACGCCATCATTGAATTGTCAATCATCGTTTACAAGTGAAAGTGCAATTGATAATAATGATGATATTGATTCCGAATATTCTACTTCTTCTTTATCTTCTATGTGTATGAATTCCGACGAATTCGATGAAAATTTAGATATGGATTCCGAATCATCATCTACGGATTCTGAGGATTTAGATGAAAGTTTTGTAACTGAAACCGATAAAGAAACAGAAGATGATGATAAGACTGTTTGTGATGATGAGACAGATTTAGCCGATGATCCTACATATAAATTACTTTCTCAAGATTATATGAATGTTCATCTTGATAATAAATTAAAATCTGCCGTTAGAAAATTCTTAAAAGCAAGATTTTGTAAGTATTTTATAAATGTTTAATATAATTTTTTCTTTTTAATTAATTTTATTAATTTTATAGGTGCTGATACTGGAAAAAACATCAATATTCCTTACAAAGATTGGAAAAAACAGACAAAATATTCGATATCTGGATGGCCTGAAAATATAAAGTTTGAAGATTGGGCAAAGGTTAAAGAAAAAAGAGAAGTATATCGTCATTTACTTGATGTTCATTTTCATGTTAATGAGGAAGCTCCAGAATTTGTTAGGATTAATAAGAAGAGAAGAAAGATAGCATAAGTATGGACAATAATATAATTTTTTTACGTGGCGCAGGAATTTAATTTTCTTATTTTTTTTTTCCAATAAATTTCAATTTATCAAAAGATCTATTACATTTTATACATGATAATAATTTTTTTGTGAATAACTTGTTTCTTTTCATTTCAATTAATTAGTGGTTAACTTTCTCAAGACCAGAATATTTATTTACTTAAATTATTTTAGAAACACTGGAAGAATTAGACTAAGTATTTTAGCAATAATTATTTTTAACAATACGCGGTATATTAAATAATTTAAGCATTTGAGCATTTGAGCTAGAATTTTGGTAAGATAAATAATATTAATGAAGAATATTTTTTTTTTTTCCCACAAGTTGAGCCAGGTCTTTCAAAAGTTCGATAGGAGCTGAAATCATTATATTGGAATGTTATTTTATGCTCATAAACAGAGCAGGCAGTATTTTTAAAATATACCTTGTAATTAATAAATTATAAAAAAATAAAATTATTTGAATTCAAAATCTGTTAATATTATCTATTGTCAATATTGGTGGTTCACTTGTTAGACTAAATGTTTGTCTAGATGTTTTATTAGTCTAATTGTTTTGTTTGTCTAGTTGTTTAAAAGGAATTACATCAACTAATGATTGAAAAAAACAAACCTATAAACCAGTAAATAATATAAATGTATAGAAATCCAAATATGATCCTGAATGAACATGTAAATCCATGACCTTTTTTGTAAAAATAAAATCGTATATTGAATTTGCATTACACGCCCTTTTATTTTATACTCTATTATTACTTTTGTTCTTTTTATTATGAGAATAAAATGTATTGTGTGTCGAGTAAAATGCGATTGTGTCCGTCAATCTACAATTCTAAATTACGCTGCGTCTACTCAGCCTATCAATAATTATTTAACACGTTATACACAACCCTTAAAAAGTATCACAACCCTTAAAAAGTATTATAAATGATTTGGATCAACATTTATTGCGACTAATTGATTATAATATAACTAAATTTGGCTTTGTATATCATTGTTACAGTATTTATTTTATTACGTTTCGAAACTTTTCATTTTCTAAACTCTTTCCTCTTTCCCCTTTCAAAAATATGGCATCATATTTAATTTCAGAATGTTTGGAAATCATTTTTTTAAACCTTACAGAATATCCTTCTAATTATATTAAAACAAATGTTTCTACTAAAGATTTATATTCTTGTACACTAGTATCAAGACATTGGTGTAAAATTTCAACTCCATTATTATATGCTTTTCCATTTCATCATTTTCGTAATAATATTTCTCATTCACAATATTATAAATTAATTCGTACTTTATTAACTTGTGCTCCACAATTTGAGATAAAAAGAACTTATAAACAAGTATTATTACAAATTCCTAAAAAAAATTTTAAAAAAAATCCTAAATCAAACATTTTATCAACTTTTAATTATATTGCTTTTATTCGTGGTTTGATATTTCATAAAATGATGTTTGAAACAGAATTATTATATGATAATTCTAATAAAGAAATATGGTTATTTGATTATGATTTAAATAGAATCTCAATAGAAACAGCTATTGCAATTATGAATCATCTTATAAAATTCATTTGTAATAATTGTAATAATTTAAAAATTTTGGAATTTTCTTATGGAATAAAAAATGATCATGAAATAATTAATTTATTAACTTTAAATGATTCTAATGGAAAAAATAAGTTAAGTGAATTAAAAGAATTATATTATTATAATATTAATTCTAATTCTTCTGCTGGGGATAATCTTTATTTAACTCCTTTAAATAATGTTTATAATTTGAAATTATTTTATTTATTAAATGGTGAAATTAATTCTTTTAAAAAAGTAAATTCAATATCTCAATTTATTACTTCACAAAAAAAATTACAACATTTCATATTATCAGGAATTGAAGAATTTGAGGATATGATTCAAAATTTAAATTTTATGGTTTATAGATTTCTTATGGATTTAATTTTTAATGCAACTAATTATTTTAATATTTTGATTCATTCATTATCAACTCAATCTGAAACTTTACAAATATTGGAATTTAGATATCTTGCTGATAATTTAATTAATGGTGAAGTTTTAGATTCTTTAATTTTACTTAAAAATATTAGAGTTTTAAAATTTTATAAATGTGAAAATATTGATAATTTACATACTTGGATAAAAAATTTGAAAAAACTTGAAATATTTGAAATTACTGTTGGTAATAGAAGAATTTCTGAAATTAGTTTAATTCAATTAATTCAATCATTTTCAAATATTTTTAATCAATTAATTATAATTGATGATCATGAAAAATGTGATTTTACTAAATTATTTAAATTGATTCCAATTTATTTACAAAATTCTTTAACTCATTTAGAACTTCCAAAGATTTTTTTATCTGAATTAATCCCTATATTTAAATCATGTAATAAACTTATTTATATTAGTGTAATTTTGATAAATAATGAATTACAAGATGAAGATTTGGAAATTTTAGGTGATTTTGTTCCTAAAACTTTAAAAAGATTTAAATTAAAAGGAATTCAATCAAAATTATCAATGAATTTATTCTTAGAAGCTTATATAAAAAATGGTGGTACATTAAAATATTTGGAACTTGAATATCTTAATGTTTTTAGTAAAAATCATATTAATGTTAATGAACAATTTGGTGTTCAAATCATTGAGTATCATTAGATGATCATTGTGTGGTGTGTGGTTTTATCTTTATAATTATTATCGTATATATATATATATTTTTTAATACTATATTAGAAGACATTATATTTTTATATTATATTAGAAAAACATTTTTTTTAAATAAATCAATAATTTTTTAGTACAAAATATTCTTTGAAATTATTAAGTGGTTCGTTAACATTTGCAATTCATTCTTTGGGCGGACCAAGACTGGTCCTTCTAAGGTAAGTGAGGGATGCATCTTCTTCACAAGTGTGTGCATTATTTAGCAAGTTTTCATTTTGATCATCAAGACTTCATTAAAATAACCATCTACAGCAGGCGCAACTGGAATATCTTGATCTAGATATATACCGATGCACTATATTGGATTGGTAGGCTTTGCTTTCCCTCAAAAGAAACTAGAAAATCAAAAACGATTTTTATTAATTAGTTCATTTATTAATAAAATTATCTTTTTTTACATTTTTATACTAGATCGCGTCAAGGTAAATGCTCACTATGTCGTAAGTGATTTATTTATTAAAACTATAAAATTAACAAAATGTGTAAACTAAATACTAAACTCAAATAATTATTTATTATGGTGCGTCAATATAGGTTCTTAAATGAGATTTTTTTTATCGTGGCATATTTCACAAAAATAATGAATTTAAAAGAATTCTTTTTTTTAACTCATCGATCTCATTGACTGGAATGACTCAGGACTAATTCAGGACCTGGGTTGTCTGGTCCTTGGGTTTGGACAACGTACCTCCTTATTCTTGAATGGGTTCTCTTATTCTTTATATTCAGTAAGTTTGAATGATTTCATACAAATGAGGGAAAGGCTCTCTAAAACATAACTTTACGTACACTTGAATAAATCTTTCTTAATTTTTAGTAATGGATTTTGGACAAGTTTGGATATATATATAAAAATATCCAAAAACTGACTATTGTAACTTGTAAGCATTCTGTAATTTTTTGGTCTTTTAATTTATTTGAGTTTTATTTTTATGAATTTAAATCCCTTTGATTATTACTAATATTTAATAAGTTGGATTATACTAGATATCAATATACGATTGTGAAGTAGTCATTTCAAGATCAGAGATTGTAACTTGGATCAGCGTTTAGAAAAGAAAATTAGAATCCTTCAATGGCGTCGATTGAAATCTCCATATATGGGCAATTGGGCAATTATTATTTCTTTTGTTCAAAAGTTCTCCAATTTGATCCTATTATCAAAGCTTTTAAATTTTTAATATCCCTATTATTTTTAATTTACTTCTTGTAGTTGATCACCGTTAATTAATCCCCTAATAAGTGACAAACTGTTTAATCTGTCATCAGTAGAATTTCAAATATCACTTGCAATATTAAATTTACAAATATGTAAAATGGGCAAATTTATGAAATTATTTGAATATACAAGTATGTGAAATACAAAATTAATAATGAATAAATGAGCAAAGTTGTTAATGAAATCAATCGAAACTCTGATGCTCTAAATGTTTTCAAAAAATCGTACGCGAAAATGTGCGTTAAATTACATGAATGTGTTTGACAGTTACGTGTTGAAACTATATGTAATATCACAAGATGGTGATGTTCTCTATTTTTTTGCCACGTACTACCACCCACGTACCGTGGGTAGGGATGGAAATCGGTTCGTCGATTCTAATTCGGTTCCACATCGGATCTAATAGATAAAAATATGAGCTACGTGCAACACAAGTAGAGCATGATGATGATCAATCAGAAAAATTTTGATTGGTCTTCAAATGATAGTTGGTGTGTGATCGTCACTCAATTTGAATCGGTTCTTGAAGTCAGTTCGAAATCGGTTCGAAGTTCATAACGGTTTTCATGGTTAAAAGAAGTTTTAAGCTCAAGAGATCCAGAATCTTTTTAAATTTAAGATCAGTTCCAGAATCGACTCGAGTCGACTCATTTTGGGGTTGGTACGAAATCCTGAAACTCGAAATCCTGAAGGTACATTATCCGACACTTTGTAATTCTGAAATTCAAAATATCGAAATGAAAAATCTTGAAATTTATTAATAAAAGAAAGAAAATTAATATTATAGGGTGTCAGGATTATAAAATTCGGGATATAAAATTTGGGATTATGACAATTTGGGATTATGATAATTCGGATTTAGAGTACCTTTGGGATTTCGCGAGTTTTGGGATTTTGGACGGATCTCCTCATTTTGAATCGATTCCATCTCTAACCGAGGGACAGATCACAGAAAACAGAAAATTTAGGTTTCTTGATGCAGACAACATCAAACCTTAAAATAAACAGAAGTCTCAGCTCTAAGTAGACCAAAAGAATCATAAGGAGAAGAAAGATGAAGAGAAAATCCATTCGGCAAATGCCGTAGCAGAAAGTTGAAGACTAAGAAAGCACATGACATTATTGTTGATTGCTATATATGGTAAATTGGAATTTGGTGATACCGAAATATTATGGCGATATAATTAGGGATAAGGAACGACTCGCTCGCTCGCGTTCCGGTTCTGAACCGATACTATTGAACGGACCGACTTGAGCCGCTTGAACTGAGTCAGTTCATATCAAAAATTTATCAGAACCGATTCGGAACCGAAAGTACTGAATCGAAAGGAGTAATGCCGGATTGAAATGAATTATACCACCGTAATGCTGAATTGCCGAAATGAATTACAGTTAATCATTATTAAAATTATAAATTTTCAAATAGAGTATCAAATCTGCATTATGGTAATTCCCAAATTTGTGCAATTTGGCATTACGTCAACTTACCAATTCAGCATTACAGCAATCAGATCTGGTGTAATATCAGCATTACATAGTGTACTGTATTGCCGAATTAATTCACCATCATCATGACATGCTGTCTTCGTTAGAACTATCCTAAAATTTATTAGTCAAAATTAGAAGGAAAATGAACGGTAGTTATGTTAGCTGACTGAGAGATGTGCCATCGTATTTGGGTTGGCTGATAATTTTGGTTTCTTTTATCGATTTTGTAGTTAAATTTTTTTTTTAGTTGCCAGTTATTTAATATGGGAAATAGAACAACGTCTTTCATTATATGAGTATGCTGTTCTACAGGAATTATCAGAGATCTCATACGTCTAGACCTTTCTAAAAAAAGAAGAATTTGTTGAAAGAAACAAATTAAAAAAAATGTGACTGACCCACGAAAATCCTACGGTTTTTGACACTTTTGGCTCATTTTGTTAGGGCTTTGTGATATTCTTCATCTAGAAGACAAAAAGTTAGCAATGTTTTGTTAAAAAAAATTAAAACAATTAAACAAAAGTTGATTCTTTACCGAGATCCTATATGTTCAGACCTGAAAACAAGCTGTCTAAAAAAAAGATAAAAATGAAGCGTTAGTCCGGTTTCCTATAAATAAAAACAAATTATAAAATATTAGTTTTGAAAAAAAAATTGCCTGGAGTAAAAAAAAAAATTAAAAAAAATTAATTGTCCCCACGTTATGACCTGAAGAAAAGTCGCCTAAAAAAAGAGACAACCCGACCCGAAACATTAATAAATGTTTCGTTGAGTAATAATTCAAACCACCCCTCTTATCAAATCCATGTAGAATGGACCTTCACCGTATACTTCTGATACCCAATAAGTCATCTAAAAAAAGAGAAATAAAACGAAACATTAATAGACATTTCGTTATAACATTTTGTTGACACACAAAAAGAATAAGAGAAGGATGGATAGGACAAGGAGAAAGAACGAGTGGAGGGGAGAAGGGAAACCCGAGCAGAAGTGAAAGCAAGAAGTGAAAGAGTGGATAAAGAGAAGGGAAAAAATTTCGTTGAAAATTAAAAGTTTGAAAAAGTATCTTATCTTATTGAGAAGTAAAGTTACAGTGAATAAAAAAAGTTTAAAAAAGTTTATTTTTTAGTAAAATATAAATAGGGGCTTTTCCACCCGAAATCATACGTATCTTAATATAATTTAAACTATACGTATGTAAATTTAGTACAGGCCGAAATTCATTTCAAATAATGATAAATTGTAAATTTAGCATAAAGTTAAATTTTCGCCCTTGTAAAGTAGTTAAGTATTCATTAAAAAAATATGCAAATTTAAGTTATTTAAATACTTATCTCTGTAAAGAAATAAGTGTTCATTAAAAAGAATATGCAAATTTAAATTATTTAAATTTTCATACAGTATAAAGTTCCTATAAAGTAGTTAATTTGCCATCAAATATTATTTAATAGATTAAAAAAATATCTTGAATTAATTTTTTCGACTAATTTTCAATTCATATTACTACTTTTTTAAGATCCATATGATAATTTTTTACGATTTGAAAATATTAAATATTTATTACTTAAATTCATTCGATTATTTTGCGAAATCACAAAATTTATCGTCACGTGATCATTCAAAATTGATGCGATTGAGTAACTGCTTGGGTAGCAAATCACAAAGTTTATATATTTAAATTTAAATAAAACGATTTATTATTATACTATTAAGTCAAAATCTTTATAATAATAATAATAATAATTTAATAGTTAAAAAATTTCAAATATGTTTAAGTCAAACATAATACTATACTTAATAACATAATAAAATATACATGCGTAGAACTAATAAAATAATGTTATTATTTTATGATTAGTATATAAGCGATATATATACAGTAATTAACAAGGACATTGCAAACAACCACAGTCATAGCAGGATTGGCGAAAGCCATAATCACATGCTCCACCTTGTGGATTGCATTCATAGACACGAGTAATGTTGCAATTAGGATCAACAAAGTCACCTAAGAAAAGAAAATCAAAATAAGACAAAAAAAAATGAAATCAAGCATCGAAGACAATTCAATCATTATTTACCACCGCAGTATTGGCCTTGCGGTCTGCCACCATCGCATGTACAAGAAGTAGAAACGCAACTAGCGGAGGTGTTAAAGACGAAGAAGGACAAAAGACTCAAGATAAAAAGATGATAAATAGTTCCGTTCATTTTCATTGTAATTTTTTTGTTGTTTTCTTTGGCAAGTTTAATTTTATAACGATTTATTAATGTGGTCAGTACTCTTATTTATATTAAATTCAGAAAGTTCGATTTTCTTGACATTATGAATGACCCTTTTTGTGTACTCCGTTAACCAAATGACCATCTAAAATTTCATAAAACAATCTTCTTTTTTGATTTCGTAAAGCTAAGCTCGATCAACAAAAAGTCCTTTATCATAGAAAGGAGAAACCGTCGGAACAGTCTACTTTTAGTTAAATGTTTCTCGGACTAAATTAAACTTACTCATTTTTAGTTTCTCCGGCAGATTTCCTTCATTTTGCAAAAGACCAATGAATTCAATGATACATCACGTCGCTTTCATTGCTTTTCACATGTATATGTTTAATTATAGCTGAAACTTTTGACGATAATGTGAAATTAATTGATTCATTACGAAACCCGATATTTACAAATAATGAAAGTATAATTTAAGTAGCTTCCGCTGATAATTTCGAACTAGCACATATTTGATCTAACAAAAAGCAAAGAATGTATCAATAATGCCCCTATAAAAACGAAATGTGTAAATTTGTTGCTCATGTATAATAAATGTCTAAAAAAGGCACCATTTTGTTTAATTTTTGTCTTTTTGTAATGACATAAATCGGACAAAATGGTGCTTTTTTAGATGTTTTTTACACATGAACACCAATATAAAATGAATTTAACACATTTCATTTTTATTGGGATATGTGGTTGACAAATAAAGGATAGGACTTACACATCTCCCTATTACCTTGTGTATTTCTCTGACAAAATATTAATGGTGTCATATGAAAATCGTAAAGACTCTTCACACTTTCAACGTTTTGCATATTTACTGTACATGCCGTTCTTAAACGACAGATAGCACGTGTATTGGATGAAATGACTTTGTTAAATTTACTTTTGAATTCTTGTACAAAATGATTTACAAGACGATTGTCAAAATCTTCACAAATAGAAGCAGGATCTCGGAATTGCGAAGTCCTCAGCTCCTTCATAACATATGCTTTTGTCGGCACTATTTACTTATATGGTAGGCCCTATGTTGCCCTTAAAAATCTGTGTTAGCTATATCTTATTTTATTGTATATTACAAAACTTATAGATTAAAATAGTTACTAGGAAATGGAAACCGTTGTAAGTCCGGAGCGAAAAGAAAGATAAAACTCCGATTTGCGATTTCATTGGATAACGTCACGTGAGGACAGATAAACTCACGTGGTCGATCATTTTTTATAATGCTATATAAAAAAAAAAAATTTACGAATTATTGACGACTAACATTTATGATCAGTTGAAGATTTAATTGCGCATAATTTTAATATCTTTGGGCTAATTCAGGTAAAGTCCTCAAAGAAACTAATATTCTCCACCTTATTTTAGAAGGAAATCAAATATATGTTGTCGTAATAGTATTTGCTTTTATTAGAAAAAATAATATTAGAGACACTCTCCGATGAAACAAGCCATTATATTAATTAAAGTTTTATATTTAAATTTTACTAAAAAATTTATATTAAGAGAAATAGAGAATAGAAAGTTTGTTACAGTCCGGCTAAAGTCTCAAGACGTATACAGGTCCTAGAATATAGACGGACTGGACCCAGTTTAAGGACTAAAACTAGGACTTGAATTAGGACATAATTCCAATGGTTGATTTTAATAAAAAAAAAACATTTGTTAATTTATTATTACTAAGTCATATTAATGTCATAAAATTCTCACAAATAAAAAAAATGTTTTAAAGTAATGAAAGTAAAATGTAAAACATGAAAATTTTGATGGTATAATTATATTTGTCGCTTTTTGGACGAAGGTTACAAACTTTGTTTATCTTGTGATGATAGTGGTGTTGACAAAAATTTATCTAAGAATCTTATAACTACCCGTTTAATATTTAATCTTTCTGGAATGGATTATAAAGAAGTCATACAATGAAATACTCTACTCTTGGACGACGAAAGTAAATTAAATATTAAAGGTCTTAGTTCACTAATGAAAGTGACTGTAGATGCACCTATGTCGCAACCTGTGTATTAAAAATTTCTATCAATTGATTGAACTAAGAAAACTTTTCATAATTTTTCTTCTTTTTGAGTCAATTTTCTCAGGTTTTTATCAAAATCTTGTTTAATTCGTATCGTATGCCGTGAAATAACCGGAAAAGAAAGCTTATCACAATACAAACGGTATCATCGACGAACATGTTATCTTAGAGAAGACATGTAATCGGTTGCTCCGGAAGAATGGGATTTAATAATTGTTCAGATTAAAAATCTTCATCGCATCAAAATCGCAGAATTAGAAGGATCTTTGGGACAAAATCTAGACGTCATGAGTGATGAGAAAGAAGCAGTTTTGCGAGATGAATCAATAATTAATAACGAAAAAAATTGTAATACCTTTTGTAGATTAATTCTTGCAGCAAACAAAAGTTAAATGCATCGGGATATCCATTTGATGATGATATCCAAGGTTTATTTAATGATATCGGTAAATTAAGAAATAATTTTTAGAATAGTTAAATTACTTATAATATTATAGCTCACATTGAAATTATAAGATCTAGAGCATTATAAATTTTACAATATCCTCAAAGAATATGAAGAGGTGCGAGGTTGCATTAATGAAATGCATTTTTTTTAAAAAAAACGTCACTAGTATTTTGTTATATTGTTTTATGTAGATGTAGATTGAATACGCATCAGGAAATTTTTTCAGGCGATATATAGCAATATAATATATCACTTTATCGATATTTATCACATTATTTATGAAATGTAATATATATCGATAATAATCGCAGTATCGATATGGATAAAAATGATAAATCATCAAATTTAAACCTAAATGATATATATCGATATTTAACATAAATAATAAACAATCGATATTTAACTTAGACAATAAACATCAAAATTTACTTAAATGATAAACATCAAAATTTAATTTTATTTAATCATGATATTGTAATATACAAATAAAACGAAATAAAAATATAATTTAAATATAGTAATTCTACTCATAAATTTTAACCCGAACTCCGAAAGACGGAATTGATGAAACTACAAGAAAACTGAAGTAAATAGAAAAGTTAGCAAAAATTTCTAATAAAATAAAATAAAAAATCCAGTTCACAACAGGATGTTGCACCAAATTTCACACGTCCAAAGGGCAAAGGCCCAGCCATCTAAAAAAAAGGAAAGTTAAGCTGACACCTAAAAAAAGAAAAAAAAATCAGACTTTTTCAAATAAAAATCAAAAAAAAAATATTTTCAAAGCTTCAATTTACCGATCCAAGTCACCAAGAAAGAAACCGGTATCTAAAAAAAAATTTCAAGGTCGAAAGTTTGAAGGCGTCAAAACAAAGAGCCGATACATACCTAAAAAATTAAAATTTTTTATTTTTAAAATAAAAATAAGTTTCGAAACGAAGCCTTTAAAACTTACCAATTTAAAGTGGTAATGTCAAAGTTAACCTAAAAAAAAGAAAAAAAAAATTAAAAATTTTATTTAAAAAAAAACAAAATAAGTTTCAAAATGAAACTCTCAAAACTTACCGATCCAAAGTCAAAGTCGAAGCCAATACATACCTAAAAAAAGAAAAAAATTAGAAATTTTTACTTAAAAAAAAGTCAAAAAAAAGTTTTGAAACGAAAAGAAACTTTCGAAACTTACCAATCTGAACGAAAGATCAAAGCTGATATATGCCTAAAAAAAAGAACTAATTAAAAATTTTTATTTAAAAAAAAAGAAACAAGTTTTGAAGCGAAACTTCCAAAACTTATCGATCCGAAGCGCAAATCGAAGCCAATACCTAAAAAAAGGAAAAAAAAAATAGATTATTTTTTAAAAAAAAACACAAGAAAGAAGGAAACTTCTGAAATTTACCGATCCAAAGCCCAAAAGGAAAATTAAAGCCGATCTGAAATACAAAATCCACGCGACCAGACCTGTCTAAAAAATAAAAAAAAAAATTTGAAATGTTAATAAACGTTTCATTACTGTAAAAATTAAAAAAAAATAAGGAAACTAACCACCATTTCCACAAGAGATCCGCCGAAATGAAAATGTTACCTAAAAAATAAATTCGTAATTTTTTTTATTTTGTGAAAAGCGGTTAATTTAGGTGAAGGGAAGGATGAAAGAAAGGAGGAAACGAAAGAAAGGGAGAGAGGGGAACGAGAGAGAAGAACGAAAAAGGGGGAAAGATAAAAACGGAGAAGAGGAGGAAAAAGGGAAGAACGAAAAAGGGGAAAGAGAAAAACGGAAGGATTTTGTTAAAAAAAGTTTAAAAATAGTTTAAGTAAAAAAAAGTAGATTAGTATTATGTGATACGTGATACACGTAATACATAATTTTGTAATGGGATGTGTATAACTAGGTCAAGCCCATAGATACCTATGTTTGCCACCTTGACCATTAACAAAGAATCCTTTATTTAATAATGAAAATATCAATAAAATATAAACAAAATCAAATAATCATGCTTGGTTTCTAAGAAATTCATGAGAATCAAGTAAATTAAAATAAATTCATCGATTAAATCAAAAAAATTAATAAATTTATCAAAGTCTTAAATAAAATATCGTTGAATTTCCCCTTTTCGTTAATAAAATAATAATTTTTATAATAATAATTCCTGAATTCATAAAAATATTTCCTCTTTCTATAATTAAAATTCTTCAATTTCAATTTTCTTCCTTTCGTTATTAATAAAAGTTGTATTCGATAATCATTTTTTCGCGAGATTTTTAATTTCAATATAAGTTTCCTTGTAAAAATATTTTCATCCCCTTTTTTGGTTTTCTTTTAAAATATTACTTTTCTTATAATTTCTTAAATATAATTTAAATAGATATTCATTAAAGAACCTATCTTACAATTTTACATACTCACAAAAAATATTAATAAGTCGATCATTACTATCTTCAATTTTCCACCGGTTGGACATTTTTATTGGTAAAACATTTTAAAATTTTTAAGTTTATACACTTAGAATAAATATATTACTGCGGTTTATAACTACTCAATAATTGTATTTTGTTAATAGATGTTTTTTAATTACCAACGAACCAGAACTAAGATCAAACAATATAAAAAATTAATATTAATCTTGGTGGAATAATTGCGATAATTATTAAATTATTAGTGTTTATCATGTTGGTAATTATCAATATCGTACTAATCGTAGTTTATCAAAAATTATCGTGTTGAATTTTTCGATAATTATCAATACTGTGAATTAATATGTTTATTTTCTTCGATAATTACCAAAATCGTAAATTAATTTGTGAAATTTTTCAATGATCATTTAAACCGTAATTTATCAATAGTTAACTTATGGAATTTTTTCGTTATATATTTATATCATAAATTATCATCAATTAACATGCAGATTTTTTTTTGTTAAGCATCAATATTGTTAATTAATAGCAATTAACCTAGTGATAATTATTGGTAATCATCAAATTTGTTAATCATCGTTATATTTCTTGCGATAAAATGTGATAAATACCGATAGGGTGATGAACATCGATGTTTGTCTCCTGAAAAATTTTCCCGATGCGTACAACTTTTTTATTTTGTACTAAAGCAAATTCGTAATAGTAATAGATGACATGAAAATCGGCCTTGCCAACTTTTCGACATAATTTGCGTAGAGCCTCAGAGGGTGGGTTGATAATTATCCTGAGGGAGTACTCTGACGAATCGTTATCAATTTCTATTACTTAAGTTGTCTCATTTATAAAAGCTAATAATTTTTGTTCTCCACGCATATCATTAAAGCATGTTGTTCGTTAATGTAATCTCGACGCTCTGGGCACCGTATGTACAGTAGCTCCACGGCGACATCTAATGTAAAAAGCATACCCACACGGAACAAGGCAAGCGAATTGATAATTTTCCTCCTTATTACACACTACTATACAAGGACCGGCTTTGTGGGTTCAGGAAAAAGAGTGGGTGCCATTCTATATACTAAATTCGATAGAAG